CTGTTGTCATTGCTCCTCAGTAATTTAGAGAGGTCTCTGACAGCTGAATTTCCCAATGTAATACATCACATGATCCTCTGCCAGTACAAGGGTGTTGATTGCGGATTCAAGTAAAATGGAGTTGTTAAAAGTTTCAATGTTTTCTCCATCTATCATGATGTTGTCTATAGGCCCAGGGGTAAGACTTTTTGTTTTCTTGATGTTGAGATGTAATGCAAATCAAAGGCTGTATTCTTCAACCTCTGCAGCAAGCACTTCAAGTTCTCTTTCAGCAAGCTAGGTTGGGTACTCTGCATAATTCAGGTTGTAGATGAGTCTTTCTCCAATTCTGATGCCACATTCTTCTTCCCAGAGTGCACCTTTTCAAATAATTTGCTGAATGTACAGATTTAATAGAGATGGAGAAAGGATATAACCCTGACCTACAACATTCCTGATTTTAAACTATACACCGTCCCCTTCCTCTGGTTAGACCACAGCTTCTTGGTCTAGGTACAGGTTTTGAATGAACACAATTAAGTTTTCTGAGATTCCCACTGTTACCCAGGTAAGTCATAGTTTATTATGATGCACAGAGTCAAATATCTTTCTGCAGTCCTTAAAAATAAACAAACATTATTCAGGTATTCTCTTCCTTCAGCCAGAATCCATCTGACATCAGCAATGCTATCATTGGTCCCATTACTGTTGTTGTAGTTGTTAAGTGCCGTCAAGTCACTGACAACTCATAACAGCCCTGTGAACGAAAGTCCTCGACACCTGTGTGACTTTCATCCTTTCTCCAGGTGTACAGGGTTTCCAGAGGCAAGCTATTTATGGAAGTGGATGCCACTCCTGGTTCCAAGCTTGTTTTATTTGGGGAGCTCCACCCAACACTGTCCACCATGTTATTGTTGTCGTTGTTATGTGCCGTCGAGTCGCTTGCGACTCATAGCGACCCTATGTACAACAGCCCTAAACTCCGCTCTGTCCTGTGCCAATCGCACTGTCTCTGACACTCCCATCCCAATTATCCACCATAGGTAACCATTATTGCATTTGACACATCAGTGTCACAGTGTTCAACTTCACAGCAACCACGAGTTACCTCTGTACAGCAAGTGGACAGACCAGGGCTATATGACTTAAAAGAATGTTTCACCAAATGGTCTCTTCTAATTCTAGCTTGAACTTCTGTCAATTCCTTCTCAGTTTATTGTTCTAGCCATTTTTTTATGGTCTTACCATTAGCTTTAGAAACTGCCAGTTCATCAACAACCTGTATTACAGATGACAAAATCCAGCTTGCAGAAAGTGAAGAAAACCTGAACTATGTCTTGCAGAAAATCAAAGATTACAGTCTTCAATGTGTTACATCTTAATTTCAAGGGGGGAAAAACCTTTACCACTGGTTCAATAGGCAACAACATGACAGAGAAAAGATTTAAATTAACTCTATCATTTACTTTGTATCTACAAATAACACCCATGGAAGCAGCAGTCAAGAAAGCAAAAGATATTCTGCACTGAGAAAAATCTGCTGTTAAAGATTTCTCCAAAGTGTTAGTTAATGAGCAAAGATATCCGTTTAAAGAATAAGGTATCCCTGATGCAAGCATGGTATTTTCGATTGTTTCCTATGTATATGAAAGTTGGACAATGAATAAGGAAGACCAGAGAAGAAAGGATGCCTTAGAATTGTGGTACTAGCACAAAATACTGAAAATCTCATAAACCACCAAAACAATAAAGTCTGTTTTGGAAGAAGTGCAACCAACGCGATCTTTAGAGGCAAGGATTGTGTAACCTGGTCTCACACACTTCAGGCATATTATCAGGAAGAGTTGCCCCTTGAAAAAGGACATCATGCTGGGGAAGGCGGAGAGTCAAAGAGAAGGCCCTCAACGGACATATCCAAAGACGGACTGACTCAGTGACTGTAACAGTGGGCTGGAACAAATCAGAGATGGTCAGGATGACAAAGGATAGGGCAAGGAGATCAGTTGTTTATACAGCTGCTCTGAGATAGTCCACTCAAAGACACCTAACAACAATAACAATTCTATTCAGTCAATCCAGTAAACCTGCCATGGTTTATTTATCTTGTCCTTCACAATTCTTTGTGTTATTCCTTGGGTGACATCTCAGATCTATCTTCCAGATCATTAATTCTTTCTTTATCTTTGTATAATAGGCTAATTCATGCTTTTTTAAAGCTGCCTGTTTTTTCCTCTTACTGTATGTTCTTCAGTGGTACAAACAGTTTTTAATTGTTTACTAACCCAGAAGTTGACAATTCAAACCCACTGAGAAGTACTATGTAATAAAACTGTGGTAATCTACTTCCAAGAAGATTACATCCAAGAAATTCCATTTGGAATAGTTTTATTCTGGAACATTTGAGAGCAACAGATGAGTCAGAATTACCCTGGCATTGTCTTCATCAGGTTACTATGTTAGCTCTTACTCTAATCATTAATAGCTTGTGCACCATAAATGTTGACTTTGTCTGCTAGTTTACTGTGGGCACATTGGTGGCATAGTCCATGGAAAGTGGCACAGCTAATCCAGAGGCTACACCTCTCTGGTTGCTCCAATCCACCAGCCATTCCTTCAGAAAAAGATGGACAGTTTCCTCCCACACAATTTACAGCCTCTGAACCCATTGGACAGTCAACCATAGTTCTGACTCAATGGCAAGTTGAGTTGAGTTTGTTAGATTTTATTGTGAACCTAGGCTAAGCAGACAATGTTTTTCATGAGAAGACTTATTTTTCAGGCTTAGGGAAGTTTCCCTACTACACAGTCTTAACGGTTCTGATAAAACACTGAGGGAACAGAAGGGATTTTCTTCCAGAGACACGAATTTCTATACTTCGCAATAAATGTAGATCTCTGTTCCAAAGGGGCTCTGGCAGTCCACAGGGAATTGTGCTGCTAACCCTAAGGTGGCATGCTGTGGCCTGAATCCACCTGTGGCTCCCTGGGAGAAAGGACAATCTTCCTCTATGCAAGTTACAGCCTCAGAAACCCAACAGAGGGTCAGCTATGACTTGAGTCTGACTTGATAGGAATGAGCTTGAGTTTTTTAATTTATCCAAAGTGACCAGTTCAACTGAAAAAGCATTGCCTATGCACATCCTTCTCTGTACAAGGTTCTGAATTTAGTGAAAATTGAAGAAATAAACTATTCTTATAATGAGATAGTGTGTGTAAAGTATCTAACACAGGGAGTGAAACAAACACTAGTTATCTCCCTTCCCCAGGGCAGTGAATAGAGCTTCTTGTATGACTCTGGAGAATTCTTTTGACTATTTTTTTCTTCTTATCCTGTATATAAAGTTTCTTTTCACTATTCAGTTGTGAGAATGAATGCTTACATAGAATCCAAAATGAATGTTGTTTAAAAATTATTGTTATTATAAATACACACAAATGCTGTTATTGATTTGAATAAGCTTTTAATTACTAGTCTTAGTTTTCTATGGTTCTCTAGAGAGTTCACTAATCCTTCTTTCAGAACAGTTAAGTGGAAATTAGTCTCCTACTGTGACTAATTCCTGAGTGCTGATTTTTAAACTACATCTAAAATCATACTTGGGAAAGAATTAAAAGACAGCTTAAGGTTGTTGTTGATGTTGTTGTGTGTCGTCTACCTGGAACTAACCCACAGCTGATCCTCCAGGGGGTTTTCACAGACAGTAAATCACACTAGGATGAGAGGAAGGAGATTGTTCATCCTTCTACTGAGTAGCTGGTTGTCTCAAATTGCATGCTTTGGGGATTGCAGTACAATTTCTTACCACAGAGCCACCAAAGCTAGACAGTACAAACCATCCAAAGTGATACTTTAAAAGATAAGCTAAGGCGAGCTCTGGTGCACTGCAATCCAGAGGTGAGTGGTTCGAATCCACCAGATGCTCTGCTGGAGAAGGGGGGACAATCTCCTCCTGTACCAGTCAGATCTGATTTGACAATACTTTTTATTGTCAGACAAATCTTTCTTAATTGACTTTGACTTTGCCACATGGATTGGCAGGAACACATAAAGTGTGTTATCTATCCACAAGGGGATTAGCTGGTTTTGCCAGGCTAGCAGTTTTAATTTGAACAATTTCAGCAGCAGAACTTTGGGAATCTCACTACCAGCAAGGAAGAGGATGCAGGGAGTGTAGCAATCACTCTTCAGAGCCAGAGATTCCTGCACCAGTTAGACGGGGACCTGCATGAGGGTGGCTTCTACAGATAACCAGAGACCAAATGGGATGAACTGACTCAGGACTGCTGTCCAAAGGATCCAGAGCCAGAGACCTGTACTCAAGCTTACTGGAGGACTGACGAAAGATTTCATAACTGGCAAAACTGGGGGAACGCTAGAACAGACATACACCATGTGGCTGAAGGTCAAAGGGCCCGTGAACACTCTGGAGAAGCTGTCTGTACACTTGAGAAGCTGGAGGAATGAAGAATTGCCAACCTGAGTTGTAGCCTGACTTCATTAATAAACCTCCTAACTGTGTGTACCAAAAATAAAAAAAAAAGATACCCTAACTCATTACTACCATTTTCCTAGAAATGTTATAAAGATAAATCAAAATTCTTAAAGAAGTATTACAGCATTCTATGACAACTCTAACAGAAATGTATAAATAAATATTATATAGCTATATTTACTATTTTGAAAAGTGACCCTTCACAGTTAGTTATCAAGATTTTACTTTTCCTCCAACAGACAGGCCACCCACTGGAGGGACAGTTATAAGTTGTTTTTAACTTGACAGCACACATCAACAGGCTATTATAACGACTAAAATGAACCTCAAAACTATTTCTTAACTGTAAACCCTTCAATGTATAAAGACAAAGACAAAAAATAATGGGGAAATTTTGGAAAATTTTTCTGTGGATGCATTCACATTTGAAAATGTCCTATTAAATAAAAATGCAACATGATTTCTTTTAAAACACAAAAATAATCTCTTTCCCTTAGATGTCATACTGAAAAGCACGTTACTCCATACCTCTAAACTTCTTGGGTGGATTGGCAAGGTCCCCAGCCTCTGGGTGCACCACACATCTATCATCCACCAACCTAGAAGGAAAAGCACATTTATAATGTCAACGGAGACCTTTTCATAAGCAATAGGCCATCGTAGAAATTACATGCCTCTTCACAAAGTTTTAATACCATTCTCAGCTAAAAAGCTTTTGAGTGCTCATAGATTTGTGGGAAAATTTTGTTGAACTGACATTGGTTTAAAAAACTGAAAAATAGGAAACTTTAATGACAGAAGACTGATGAGATAATCCATGATGCAGATAAACCACAGAACACTAGAGAACTATATGAAATTTTAGCCCAAAAAAGGTGCTGGCCTGCAAGACATTTAAAACAAACTGTGAAAACACGTGGTAACCAATCAACATCATATATAATTATTTACATTTACACACACACATATCTCTCTACACATACCCAATAGGGAATGAAGATATCAAAGTGTTACAATAGTCAAATTATCAGCGGGTTTTATATTTGTCTCTTTCTCTTTGTATGGGGTGTATTTGTCTGAATATTTTGTTTTGTTTTAATATAAAAAAGGTATAGGCTTATGAGATCAAGCTTACAGAGTGACCCCAGAGTGAGAGTACTTAGCACATTCAAACCTTAGTCTGGTGCCTTTCTAGATAAGTGACTTAAACCTTCTTTATACCTATAAAATAAGGAGTGCTGGTGTTTCTTTCTGCTAAGTCAATTTCAACTCATGGTGACCCTATAAGTGTTGCATGCAATGGTGTATAGTTAAATTACTCTATAGTCAGAGATGGATTACTCAATAAGCAAAATAAGCACATGTTTATGGCATCAACAAAGTAGGGGCACCAATTAGCCAAGAAAAACACATCTAGTGCCAAGCAGACAGGGCACAAGGAAAAATGAACGTCAGAGTGAACAGTAACAGGTAGGACACTAAGTGAAACTCACAGCAGCTCCAATGACAGAGTTTTGGCCAGAAATAAAGCTCACTCAGGATCATGAGTATCCACAAACATGGTTGTTAAGCCATGAGGTACATACTACCTTGACATCTGGGTTAGCATCTGTCTGCTATGATACCCTTCATATAATTACAACTCCCTGCCTCAGCAAATCACTTGAAAGAATACTCTTTCTTCAAATAAGTGAGGAGGGAAGAATCAGCAAATCTAACTTGCTATATTCACTCCAATGAAACTATCCCTAACGTGAGTTATTAATGTGAACGGATGGATCATATCAATAAAACAGGTCCTTGATCCATTTTGCAAGAACCATCTGGTTCTTTTACATCCATGAACAAGTACATCCGTGTCTGGGATCCAGCAACCCCAGCCAGAAAGGTGAGCAATGCTCTTTGCCAGGATAGAAACACAAGGGTATGTTCATGTGTGTGTCCTCCTACATTGTCAGTGAGAATCCCAGCCCCAAATGAGCTACAAAGCAAGGGGGTTAGAATAAATCAACCACTGTCATGAATTCAATCTCATCTCACTGCAATGTGCAAATGCATTACAGCACCCATTAAAATAATGAAATAAATTTAAGGAAATAGATTGTTAAATTTAGCCCATAGAGAAAACATAATTACTTTCTATTAAATACTCCAGGGTGAATAAGCATTATGCAATAATGCTCCTTCACAACAGACAACATTTAGACATAAAAATCATCATCAACATTTTCTAGAATTAAGTCCACATAAAAATTAAATATTTAGAGAATGCATCTGCCTGCCAGGAAAAGGTGGTCTCTTGCTCCTGTGCTCATCAACACCACCAAGGACAGTTCTAAAGAGATAGACCCAGGCTAGAGATCCTCACTAAGCTATGTGTGAGAAATGAGAAGTCACCCAGGGACTCTTAGAAGGCAGCTGAATAAAGGTAGGGCTCTGCTCCCTCAACCTCACATTAGATAGAGAGAATGCAGCTGCCTAGTGGGGGCAGGTGGTCTCTCGCTACTGGACACATCAGCACCACCAAAGATCATTCCAAACTTTAGAAGAGCTGGGCAAGAGGCAGGTAAGGTTCATGCAAGAATGCACTACAGTCCAAATAGAAGCTGAAGAACCTTAAGAAAAGGGAGTTTTCCCACTGCACATACCTAGAAAAGACTCCTGGCGTAGTGAGTTGCCCTCTCCAGTAAAGGGAATACTTTAAGTCAGCAACTAATAAATAGCATCATAAAGATAAAGAACTGTAAATAATATACACAGACACAATAGAAACAGCCTCCACATACCAAGGAAAACTTCATATAATGCCAAGAAGCAGCTTCAAACATTGGGGGGGGGGGGAAATAAGCCTTCTCAAAAAAAGCAGAATATAACAGGAGACCCAAGGAAAACCCACAGAGAGGCAGAAGAACTATATTGACATAGAGTCATATGTACAGTTACAAAAGGTCCAAATAATGGAAGAAAGAATAGAAGCCATAAATAAAGTGAATATGGCAGAGACAGGGAGCCAGAATAAACATATCAACATGAAGGAACATCAATAAGTGCTGAAGAAATTGCAAGAGATGAAAGAAAGAATTGATACTACAGATGAAAGGGTTGTTGTTGTTGTTGTTGTTGTTGTTGTTGTTAAGTGCCATCGAGTCACAGGTGACTCATAGCGACCCTATGAAGGAGAGTCCTCGACGCTTGGGTGCCTTTCATCCTCTCTCCAGGTTCATAGGGTTTCCGGAGGCAAGCTATTATGGAAGTGGATGCCAGATGCCACTCCTCCTTCCAAGAGATGAAAGGATAGAAGAAATTTAAAAATCAGCATAAGACAGAGAAGATAAAGCCAACACAGAACTGTAATTAACAGAAATATGTGAAAATACAATCCAGAATATCAAGACTGAAATGGTACAATTTTCCAACATACTGGAGGGAGAAAAGGGCAGAACAGAAGAGAAGAAACAGAGCATCAGTGATCAAGAAGACAAGAACCTCAATGGGAACATAATAGAAGAGAAAATAGGGAGGAGACAGAGGGAAATGAAAAACACATTAGAATTATGTGGGATGACATCAAAAGGAACAACAAACATACAACTGGAATCCCAGAATATGAGGGGCAAGGAATGCACTGAGAAACTTGTAGAAGAGGTACTAGAAGAAAATTTCCCAAGCACTATGAAGAATAAGGAATAAGAAAATTTATATTCAATAATCTCAACGAACCCAAAACAGAATAGACCCCAGAATAAAAACATTAAGACATATCATAGTAAAACCCTCTAAAATCAAAGATAAGCATAGAATACAAAAAAGTGAGGGAAAAAATGTCACCTACAAAGAGGAACCAATTAGACTAAATTCTGATTTTTCAACAAAAATCATGCAAGCAAGAAGATAATGGAACATCATATACAGAAGATTGAAAGAAAGCAATTCTAGCTGAGGATCCTGTTCCCAGCAAAGCTGACCATCAAATATTAAGGAGAAATTAGGTCATCTGCAGAAAAACAGGAACTAAAGGAATTTGTGAAAACAAAAGCAACTGTACAAGAATTTCTAAAGGAGGTCCTTTACACAGAGACACTAAAGGAAAATGGATGGACTACAGTAACCAGAAACAACAGGAAAAGAAATACAGCAAAATTGCAGCAATAAAAGCTGACAAGTCAATAATCACCCTTAATGTGAATGGACTAAATGCACCACCACCTAAGAGAAAAAGAATAGCAGAGTGGATAAAGTCCATCAATATGCTGCCTACAGAGACACATCTAAGAAATGAGGAAAAGGACTAAACACCACTGGCAATCAGAGAGAGGTAAATTAAAAACCACAATAAGATACCATCTCACCTCAGTAGCAGTGGCAAAGTTTGAGAGGAAAACAAGTAATAAATGACGGAGAGGATGTGGAAAAATTGAAACTTTCATACACTATTACTGGGATTGTAAAATGGTACAACTACTCTGGAAGGCAGTTTGACATTTCCTTATAAACCTGAACATAGAAATGCCATACGATCCACCTCAAGTAAAACAGAACTGAGACACAGAGATTTGTACACCAATGTTAAGAGCTGTGTTGTTCACAATAGGAAGAGAATGGAAATAGCCCAAACATCCATCAACGAATGGATTGAGAAATTGTGATACACTGACACAAGGACGACTACACAGCATTCAGGAGCAATGATTTTGAAAATATTATATAACAAGGGAGAGGGTGGAGAGCACTGAGTGAAATAACTTACTCTCATAAGAACTAACATTGCATAAGATCATTATTGTAAAAATAGAAGGACTAGTAAGAGGTGCACAAAAGTACAAAGGTGGAAACAGGAGGTGGGAGGGGAGGTGGAGAATGAGGTCAAGGAGTTTGGGGTATAGAGGGGAAGGGTGAAGGAATTAGAAAAGATCTAGTGGGAAATCTCAAAAGGTGAAGTAATGGTGGGCATGGATCAAGGGTGATTACTTTTATAAAACACAATGTATGAGAATGATCATATGAAACACAATGTATATAAATAAAAATGTATACAAATTTTATATGCAAATAAAGAAATAAAAATAACTTTAAAAAATATATGAGTTCAAAGGAGAAGCAAAAGGTGACAAAGAACCCAAATAAGCAGAAACAAGAGAAATTAGGAAGGAAAAGGATAGAATGCTAATACAATACAATATATTGCATCCAGTGTAATGCAGCAAATGTTACCAAATAATCTGAGCACAATCTGGAATCCTAATTTGCTATGTAAACTTTTACTTACAGCCTTATAAAGTGATTAAAAGAGGTAAAGGAAGAACTAAAAATTTAAAAGTAAAATATTCGTTTAAATTTAGCAGGATCTGATCTTCACTGGTAAAAAAGCATTATAATGATCTTAAAGTAAAAGATCTCTTTTAACTAGCACTAGATTCCTAAATTCAAATTTATAGGTAAGTCTTTGTAAGTAGTGGTCAATAAAATATCCTCCCTCCTTCCCCACTACTTGTATTGTTTCATAAAAATCTTTGGTCAAATACAGAAATATATCGAGGCAATGTATATGCCATGTAACAGCAAGAGCAGTAAAGGTGACTAATGACTTTTTATCTAAAAA